ACAGAAAAGGTGAGCCGCCTCACCGCTCAGGTACCGTAGAAACTCACTAATCCACACCCTCGATGACAGAGGTCGTTTAGACTGAACTCTAAGACAATACTGATTTGACATGCTTGTAGACCTACACATACAGTATTTCAATAAGACCGAAATATACCACAAAGTATTTGTTAGGTAGCCTGGAAGAATAAAATTATAAAACCACAATTTACTAAGATACTGTACAAATAATGGAAGGCTATTCCTCAAAACTATGTACAAAATGACTTGTACTATCATATTATTATTAAACATCAGGACAGTCTTAATTCATAACTGCATACCGTTTTGATTTTTAAACAGATTTCTTTTCACCTTTTTACTCTCAGATTTCATCCAATGATAATCATGTATGTAAAATGGTGAGACATTCTTTGTGTCCATCTACATCTCTTCTTTATCATCGATTCACTTTAACATGATGACACAAGCCACATTAATTGATGTTTCTTTTGAATGTGTCAACCCTTAAAGTCAGGGCTTTGACTATCAGTGATCATATTCTGCCCCTTAGTGGAGGAAAGGGTCCATAACCTGAGTGGAAAGGGATAATAAGAGGCTTGATCTGCAGAGGCTGAGGAGCAGACTGGACTGTGGACATCTACAGCTTGAGCCAGTTCTTCATCCAGCCTTTGATGGACTGCAGAGTTATGCAATCTTAGCCTTTGTCTGTTTTAAAACAATTTCCTTGCCAGAAATTTACATGAAGTTGCTCCCATGGCTGCTCTAAAAGAGGAAGGGGGTGCTATTTAATTCCAATATAATCCCTTTAGAAGAAGACCCAAAACTAGACTCCGAACATGATGTACACCGTTTTTATATAATCAGGCTGCATCATATGTCAGAGAATCAGAACCAGAGAATGAAGCCACATCCGTAGGAATTCTGCAAATCCTTCTCAGTAGAGCTGCTGTCACAAAAGCTTTCTCATACCTCCCTACTATTTGCTACAGGAGCAGCTGTAAATGTTCACTAATATAAAGTGAAATGAAAGGTGAACAAAGAAAACTAAGTGCTGAAACAGGCAGAGGTGAAATTAAGGCTGTAGTTGCACATAGTGCATGTACTAAAATCAGCAAAATGTGAAAAAACAATATCTCTAAAGTATATTTGTTGCCAATCCTACCAGAGGCCAACATCTGACATTTTACCTGAAACTTCCTCCAACAAAATATGGATGTACATCTTGGTACTTATTTGGTTTCTTTGAAATTCTGTGCATGGCTGAACAGTGACAGCTGGAGATTAGACAAAAAGTGAAATGGTATTGAAACTGACACTATATAAAAGACCAAAATCAAAATGAAATAGGCCTGCAGTTAACCATATTTCAATGATCAAATTATGTAATGTCACAAAACAGTGAAAGAATGTCCATTACAGTCCAACCAACAGTCCAAACTCAAAAGATATTCTCTTTACAGAAAGAAAAGAAAGGCAAAGAAATGTGGGAAAATGTTCATGAATAAGAAGCAGAAGCCAGGAAATGTTTGACATTTTTACTTGAAAAATAATATGTCCCATTATCAAACAAGGCGATTAGTATTTAGTCATGAAAAGAGGGTGTGTGCAGGGCCGCGTAGAGCCTGTCTTCAATGAATCAGATGTGCAGAGCATGTGCTTTGCTAGGTTGTTTAGAATGGCCAGTGCTGAACTATCAGTGAAGTTGTAGCCTATAAAATAGAATATCTATTTATCAAAAAACAACATCAGCGTCAAAATTCACAACAATGGCTTAGATTTTAAGAAAATGAAACAAAGACCAGAGTATTGTAAATAGTAGTTGTGCGTCAGTAACTCTGTTTCACACTGGAAAATAATCAACAGCCAGCTTGTCACTCCCTACAACCTGCCAAGTGTAGGAGTGGAAGCACTGACACATGTAACTGACATCTCAGATTTAATTTGACTGGTAATCACACCCAGAGCATTTCACACATCTGAGCTACAGTTTCAGGTGTTAAGCTGGTAAGGAGACATACAACTGTGCCTGAATGATAACACCTCATCAGATACAGTCATATTTTACTGTAGGTTTATGCTCTGCCATAATGATTATAATAATAATACTAACAAGAATATAAGACCTAACATAACACACATTTTATTGTTTTCAATAAAAACACAATCAACACTCTGCTTTTTCTTTTCAGATGCTTTCACTTTGGTTCAGTGGCTATTTGACACAAAACGTGCTGCCTCACTGCATGTCACCTTACTGTGATTCTTGTCTGAATCATAAACCATGAGCTAATAACATCGCTTCTAATAAGAAACAATATTCTACTAATACCACCTGTGTTTGTCAAATTTGAGAATGTTGATCTGCATAATCATGCAGCATGCTGAGCAAGATAAGACAAGAAAAAGAACCAAACAGTGTGCGTTCACCGGTTTGTGTTGAAGCATGTGGCTCAGCAGGTTAATGTTAATAACTCTAAAGATGCCATATAATTAGTCGCAGCCCCAGTTATTTTGCCACAGCATGTACTGTATGTTACAGCAACAGTACAGTTTGTTAGCCCACATGGTAAATAAGCACCTTGACAAAAGCCAATAGAGCCACAACCAAGCGTCTGTTTGCTACCCATTCACAAACTGAACCTTAGAACTAAAAATGTTTAGACAAATTCATGCCTTCCATGGTGGAAATGTAACTAGTATGGAGGCTATAGCTGAAATAGTCAGTCAGTGAATTAATTACTTGATCAACAGGAAATTAATCTGATAATTAATTCATTGCTTCTCTAACCCTTTAAGCAAAAATGCCCAACATTCTTTGGTTTCAGCTTCTGAGCTTAGAGGATATGCTGCTTTTCTCTAACAGTAAACTGGCTTTTGGACCATCTATTTGGGGGGAAAGCATTTACTGACATCATTTTGGCCTCTGACAATAGAAACATTTTTCACAATTTAACCTGATAATGAAAATAATCTTTGATTGCAGTACTAATGTTTTCTGAACAGCTTCACATTTTAATCACCAAGAGAAATAACTGTGAGTCATTAATTTCATGCAGATGGATTTCACTGCAATGTGAATGTGACTCCATGAAAACCTGCCGCTCTTATTTCCTCAGCTCTGATATATTTCTGCAGACCTCTATATTCTTGGTAGATCCACCTGATTACTAAAATATCTCATCTCTGCAGCTGTTCCTCAGCTGACTTGCTAATTCAGGCCAGTGTACTTCCATTTAAGTAATCCCAGGTGTCTTCATTTATAGCTGTGTAAGCAGGCAGCCAGGCCAGCAGAGAACACACAACTGTTTGCTATGCTGAGCATTCAGGGACTTTAGGCAGCTTGGTTAAAATATTTGACCTTGTCAAGTGACATATAATCGATAACATCAACCTCAACCATCTGATTTATTTAGTCGAGCAGTTGATTCCTTTGCTCTGTGCAGTATACTAATACAGTAAAACCTACACTAGCCTGTTAAGCTGCCACCGGCTTCTTCCTATAGCCATGTAAAGCTCGTCCTCAGGCCCCTACAGGGAGTAATGGACTCATTTATGTAGGTCTTCATTCCCAAACTGATACAGGAGAAACAATAGAGTCCTAATTTTGCCACTATGTTTGTTATCTCTGCTGGTTTTGTTTAATGATTAATTAATCTGATGAAATCACGTTACAAAATTGAGAAAGGGGTGTCGAATTTTTCATTTAACACTGATAAAACCGTTCTGAATGGTCACCATTTGCTTAAGAATGGATGTATGTATAGATGTATGAATTCTTGTACCCCCACTTTACTATTATTTACTTTATGAAACAAATTGTCCCCCTGTGACCAATTCATTATAAGCAGTGCTTGCAGGACAAGCCCACATTGTGTTACAGTCTGTAACTTTTCATTTTGATTTAAATTTTTGGTTCATTTTCAGAATTTCATGCTATACAAATTTATTCATACATAAAAATATCTATTTCCAAATATAAAAAAAATAGGCTACATATTACAAAAACGTATAACAGCATCAAACTGCGATGTAAATAATCTTCCCTAGGTGTAAAAGTTCTTTAATGACAGTACAACAATGAATGCTCACTATTTGAAGCAGTCTGTTACCGAATGAAACCAGATCCAAAAAGAATACTTATAAAAACAGCTAAAAAGATTTTATTATCGTTTGCATTGCATTTCATGTGGATGTAATTGCAAGTGGTGACGCATGTGTAGCCGTCCTGTCCAGTTTGTTGACATGTCAGAGCCAGAACACCAGGCACTCAGTATTTTAGGGACACTTCCTAATGAGTATCACTTCATGTCATTACTAACAGATGTTTATATCAAATGTGGTTAATGCTAATCTAGAAAATGCAACACAAGCTTGGATTGTTAGCAGAAAGCATGAAAATGGAGTAGAGAGTAGTAGACGTGCCATGGACACAGCTTATTTCGCTGTGTTGGGAATATTTTTGAGGGCCCTATTTAATGAGTCAATTAAACGCTCCACACATTGAACATTCAAACTAAATAGGGCGCAGCACAGAAAATACACTGCTGATCATCTGGGTCAGGTGTCTTCACTCAATCTGAACCTGCCTCGAATGAGTGTATTTCCTACACAAATTATCAGCACAACAACAAACGTTGTGTCGTCCTACGAATTCAAACTTAACAGCTGTTTCCCGAGTTGCCACAAATGGTCTCTCTGTCTGTTCACACTGAACCAGCTACACAGCAGAGACCATAGCTGGCTTTATTTTGACAGGCTAGCCTATGCGGCAGCCATACCGAGGACCTGTATCAGCAGTGTCTTAGAAAAAGACTCCATGTTGTAAGAGTGGACTAATTCGAGTTGAGACGATATTACAGTAAATAGCAGCACTGCTCAGTTATCAGTCACTGCAGTGTTCGCGGCCGACGACGACAGCGACACATCACTGACTAATGACGGCGCCTGCTTACACTGTATCCCTGCGCGCATCAAACCGTACAGACTGTCACACCTACCTCAGGACGACGACTCATATCTTCAAGTTCGTTACTGCACTTCCCGCCGTCGCTCGTCCTTCCCCCTATTAGGCTGTCGCCATTTTGTTTTAAAATCAAGCTGGTTGCACTCTGCTCCTGAGAAGAGAGGCGTTTAAGAAGGGAGGTAGAGAAAGGAGCGTCTCCCAAAGTGCACACCGACCCCTTATGCACATTTCAGCTCCTCACCCTAACAGATCGAGGAAACTGGGGAGAAGCGCCTGACCTTGAATCCTACATTACACCACTTAGAGAGTGTAGAGTGTGGCTATACGCCTTTCTACAGAGACAGTCAGTGTAATAACTGGGCTGTCACTGTCACACAACCGGCTTACACAAAATGAAAAATTTATTTTGCAATATATCTATTATTTATTTAACTTGGCCAGTATTACTGTAATCAGGGAAATGCGCCTGTGTTGATCTGTTACAAACCACAGCAGTGTCATCCACATGTGTAACACAGAAGGAAATGGTTAAATTATGGTCTTACATGGCCATGAACTGAATCTCCCAGTGGCTCCACTGGTTTCGCCCCTGAAATCTTTTGTTACTGTTGTATATTTAGCGCTTAATGGCACTTGTAGCAGTGAGTGCTAAGCCTAATTTAAATTGTAGAATAATGATGCATGCTGAAAAACATCATGAGTCAAGAGGAAATATGTCGTTATCAGTGCAGTCATCCTTTTTTTTAATGTTGTAATGTTATTATTAACTGTTGTTGTTGTTGAATATGACTTTATTTCTGATTGCGTCAATGATGGACAAATGTCTTTAATTTACCTTTTGCCCCTTCCTTATTTAAAAAAATATTCAAAATGTCTGGATCATGTCTAGATGAAATACATCAGAGGTTAAACTGACTAGAAACTGAGTCACACTGCAACCGCAGCTTTGCCATAACAGACATGACCTACACGGCGTAATGACAGAATCTACTGTACATAGACACTATTATTATTCTATGTAAAACACAATGAGGTAGCAGCATGTCTTTGTTCAGTGCAACAAGGAAAAATGTGTGCTGTCTGCAGTGGGTGATTTTAGTGGTAATTCTCATATTCATAAGCAAATATTGGTTGGATTAAGCAAAAAACTAACAAGTCTTTGAATGTACATTGCTCCAGTGTCTGCTATTATCAACATGAAGCTTACATAGTCTGCAGACAACTAGAATCTCTCAAAATCTTTTGAATATTTATAGAGTGGGCAAAGTATGACTTATTTATTTTTGCTAAATTATTAAATGTGCAGAATGCAGATCATTTATCATTAATATTGATATACTGAGAAACTGTAAGACATAAATATTTGTGTCTAAATATTTATCTAGTCCATTCCAGTGTGTGTTAATTCTAGATTTAACTCTTTATTCAGCAGAGATATGTTTCTTTCAGAGCTGTTTCCAAGTCACTTACTGTATTTATGCTTGCCTTGCTGTGATCTGAACTTATCATTGTATGCACCTAGACAGCAGAAAACACAAAGCACTTCCAAGGAGTGCGTTGTCTTTTTGTGTGAGATATAGGAATTGACACAAGCCCTCTGTTTTCAGAGCATGAAGTAATTCTTTTAATGGCCTGCCAAGTGTGCACTCCAAAGTTGGATTTTGCTCCTCAAAATGAGAGCAAAAATCTCAAACAATTTATTATGCTGTTTGTGCCTCACTTCTCTAGTTATCGTCTGCAATTTATTTCCTACCTTGGGGTACTGTGAGCCATTTTTCTCCATTTTCAATGGCTCACTTTTTTTTTCTTGATCCTGCACACTGCTGACTAAACTCCTGCCTCCAGCCATGCTGTTGGAACATCACAGAAAACGACATCATTATACTGAAGCTAGTTAACAAAGAGAGGCAGAGAACCCGTTTAAATCACAGGGCACAGGACAGTATGAGAATTACTGAGCTCCCTATCTTAGCGGCAGCAGCATTCCTCTCTCCAGATGAACAGCACTAATGAAGGCTGTTTCACACCTCAGTCTGAATTCAAGGTCAGCACCTGATCACTCTTCACCAGTTTAAACATATTTCCTATATTATATATCTTATATACTCTAGAACTATATAGCTTTGGCCCAAACATATGTAAGTCCTGTGTCTGCATCAGCTGAGCCCAGTGATGCCTTTTATCAGACATTTACATTAATTACACCGGTGCATTTCCTACTAATGCTGAAGTGATGATTTATCTGTATCTGTTTGAATTGTAAAGCAGATAATCCTAAGGTACATGAAGTGACCTGTGGTTGTACACTAAGAGTTGGCACGACAACTTTGCCTAGTGCTGCATTGCAGTGCACCATATGCAGCTATTGTTGATGACAGATCCAGTTTAATCTCAGTCTGAAATGCAAGGTCCAAATAACTAATACACTGTAGAAGAAAATCATTGTGGATAAACACTATCAATTGTTCAATGTACTTAATAAATTCATTTGTGGAAGAAGTGTTTAGATCATTTACTTACATAAAAATAGCCATACTACAATGTAAAAATGCATTACAAGTAATGTCCTACATAAAATATGGTACTTAAGTAAAAGTACCCAGCAAAGTATAGCCAAAGGCCCTGTCAGTGTTGTATTATATATATTATATTATTTAATGATGATTACTTAATGTTTTGGGTGGTTGAGGCTAAGTTAATATCTACCTATATCTCTGTTATATGTACCATGCACTAGTTTTATCTTAATAATGTGTTGGTCAGAGGATTTCTATGAAAAATCTTCAAGTACAAATTGACTATAACTGTCAAATAAATGTAGAGAAGTAAAATTATAATATTTCCCTTTTTAATGTAGCAAAGTAGAAGAATAAAGTGGTATAATACAATATAACGTAATTAAATTACAAGCAGCCAACCTCAAAATTGATCTTAAACAGGTCACAATACTTAGTTATAATCTACCACTGATAAATTGGCAACACAATATTAGCAACATGTTAGCATGTGGTTCAATGCTGCTAGTGTTGCAAATAATTACATGCTAAAGACCAAAGGTTAGCGTTCACCTATAAATTCAAAATAACTAACATTCTCATTTGTATAGGAAGCATTATACAGGAGCCTACATGCTAAGCAGTACTTGTCATGATGATCTGTAAAATCCAAGAAATGCCCTTGTTAACTTGTATTGTAAACATCCACTATACACTATGCACAAGTACACATCACATGCAAACACTAGAAGTCCAAAAATGTGGCTGTAACATTCACCATGTCAAATATATAGTAAGGCGATAATGTTTCTGTATAACAATGTTTTGAACACCTCTTCTCCCCTCCATCTCTGCAATAGGACTGAATGTCCACAGGGTGGCAGAGGGAAGCCTCATGAGTCTGCTTCTACTGTGCCTTTTTTAAGAGTCTCATTAACTACCATTAAATCACCGCTCACAGATTGCATTTTGATAGGCCAAACGATTTTTAAATGTATATTATATGCTGTTTTAATCCTTAATATCAGTAAATATGGTGTATTAGGGCTTTTAATATTCTTAAGAGATTATCAGGCGCTCATTTGCCTGTGTGCTTATGCGGGGTTTCTGCATTATCAAATATTAATTTTTCTAAACTTGCTCTTTTAAGAGGGCTTCTTTGATGTTGATGTAATTTTTCATCAACTAAGCAGATCTCACAGAGTGGAATCTTTTGGAAAGCAGTGGGCCATAATTCATTGATGAGCCATGAGCAGCTCAGATATTCACATCCGAATGCTTTTGCAAGATCTTAAACAGTTCTCAGTTGTGCAATAGATACACCAGAGTGGAGCTGCACTGCTGGCCTCAGCAGGGCTTCAGATTGATTTAAAGGGCCAAGCAGAAGGCAAGAAAAACTAATCTGTGTGAATTTTGTATTCATTTAAGATCTGCCAGCAAAGTCTTTTTTAAATCTGTAGACATTGGGATAGATTAGAAGACACCAGGGTTTCACAGACAAAAGCTTTGCAAGCCTCTTTTTCAAATCTGTGAACAGCTAACAGTTATTAAAAAATGTTTTTATAACCACTATGAAATAAGCAAGTAGCACTGCTTTGATTCTAGTCGTGCCTATTTTGAACAAAAAAAAAATCATGAACAATTTTACAGAAGCAATTATAGCAAAACAGAAAGTTGAAGGTTATCATTATTAAATTATTCCGTTTTGACAACGTTGGCCCTCAGAGTCTGGGAATTGATCTCTGTGTAAACATGCTAAAGCAAGCGAGACTGACATAAATTGCAAAGACGAAGCCATCTTTTGAGCACTTTGCTTGCTCTTTCATGTTGCCTCACTTTGGGGCTGAATGTTGCTAACCGTGCTGCTAACACGGACTGATTAGTTTTATACACTCGAGATGAGAAGTGCTTTGGAGTCTGCTATGAGATCTTTTCTTTTCACACCACATCTGAGGAAGAGAAATTAAAAGAATGCTCAAAGTTTCACCAACGTGTTTGTTCTCTTCAAAGAGGAGAGGAATCTTGTGAGTCTGTGTCAGATGTTGTAGGTGCATGCTCATTATTTCAGTGAGCCAATTTTGCCTCCCATGAATGCTCGATAAAGAAAATAGTGGCTGACCCTGGCTCTTCTTGTTAAGTTAATGCTTTTGCACAAAAGAATAACAGATGCCGGTTTGGATAACAGTGAGGTTATGGTGGGACCCCATCTGCCTTGTTATCAGAACGGCTCCCTCAAGTGGACCAGATGAGTCTGCCTCAAAACGCAGTCCTTTGAAACATACTAGTCTGCTTGAGCTAATAACACACAAGACAAACAAGGTCTGTGTGGTCTCTTTTGTAAAGTTGTTTACTAATGGGATAACTGATTGACAGACTTTGTGCTTTAACTGTGTTATTTACTTTTGCACTTTCATGCTTCAGGACTTTCAATTTAATTGAGAAACAATTGGACATAAGGACAGCACTGCCATAGGGGAACTCTAGCAATGGGACAGTTTTAATGATGCCTCCGCCAGAAAAGTGTCTGCACTCTGATCTCACGGTGACAGTATGCTGCAAGTGACATAGTCATCATGTTCTCTGTGAAATCCCATCCCAGTTAGATATAAATGCATGTTGGCATCCAGCTGGTCAGTCCATGTCACTGTTAATATCACAAATCAATTCTTTTGTGGTGCAGGAGTTTCACTAGTTTTTTGTAGAGCAGCATATGATGTACTTTTTTACTCAGCAGACTCAGCCAGTTATTTCCAACACTTTGGCACAGTGTCCAACCAGCCAAGGTGATTCCTGTACATCCAGCTACCCTAAAAATGCGCTCCAGA